TTTTTTTTTTTTTTTTATCATTTCTCACCATTTCTTCTACCATCTGAATTTTTTGCCATGCATATGACTCTGTTCTTTTCCTGCTGCATTCACTGTTCTCTCGAGAGGATTGCTTTTGTTGATTGCTTATTCAGCTTGACACGCATATGATGGCATTGGAATCATTCAGGAACGAGACAAGTTCATTTTGTTGGGCGCTATGTTTTGCCAAATTAAGATCACGTTTTTAATACCAAATCCACGCCCAGAACGGCCCGTTCTGAAATCCGAACGGTCCGTTCCGGGACTCATCCGGAACGGCCTGTTCTCCCTTCAGAACGGCCCGTTCTCCCTCCAGAACGGCCCGTTCTCCTTCCAGAATGGCCCGTTCTCCTTCAGTAGTTTGGAACGGCCCGTTCCAATTTAGGAATGGCCCGTTCTGGCTACTGAATTTTTTTTTCTCTACGTTACAATACTCCCCAACAACAGGAATTTTCGTCCCCGAAAATAAGTCTACTTGAAAAGAGGAATGAATACTGTTTCTTGAACTGACTCTCCACCTCCCAAGTAACCTCACCAGTAGCTGCATCCCAAACAATTCTCACCAAGATGATGGACTTGCCACGAAGCTTCTTCAACTCGTGATCAACCACAGCTACCAATCTCTTCTCATAGGTCAAGTTTTTTTTTCTAACTTGCACCTCATCCAACTCTACCACATGACTCGGGTCTCTGATGTAGTTCCTCAACCTTTCCTGAATCTATCTCACCAGGTCAGTAGTCTAAAGAACTAACTCTGGACCAACCACTACTGACTCACCCTCCTGATACCAACATAATGGAGTCATACACCTCCTACCATACAAAGCCTCAAAAGGCGTCATGCCAATACTCAAATGATAACTGTTATCATCAGTGAACTTTACCAATGGTAACACCTCCTCCCAGCTACCTAGATGATCCAACACACAAGCTCTCAAGAGATCCTCCAATGACTGAATTGTCCCCGTCGCCAAAGCCTGATGCAGAGTCTGCCAACCTGGAAGTAAACCTTGGATCTTTTTCAGAGATAATACTGGAAGGCACTCCATGCAACCATACTCTCTCTCTAATATACAACTGTGCAAGCCTCTCCAAGGACCACCTCTTGACAGGAAGAAAGTGCGTACACTTTGTCAACCTATCAACAATCACCCAGATAGAGTTAGTGTTCCTAGCTGTCCTAGGCAACCCAACCACAAAGTTCTTAGTGACACTATCACACTTCCACTTGGGAATCTCCATCAGCAGGAAGCTCAAAACCAGCTGCCCTCTCAGTACCAAGCAATCCCAAAATCCTCAACAACTCTAGATTCTGTAATTGCTTAGTTTCCACCTGTCTCAAGAACTCATTAGTTATGGTGATCATACAACAACTAATGTGATCTTGAACAACCTCCACATTTAGTCTCAAATCTCTGAATTGCTTAATCAGCTCCGACTCCCTAATTATCATAGCCGACATGTGAATGGATTTCTTAATCAACACATCTGCTACCACACTCGCCTTCCCAGGATGATACATCAACTGGAAATCAAAGTCCTTTAGGAATTTCATCCACCTCCTCTGCTTCATTCAGACCCTTCTAATCAAACAGGTACTTCAACTCTTGTGATCACTAAATACACTGAATCTTGCACCATATAAATAGTGTTTCCACGACTTCAAAGCAAACATCACAGCTGCAAGCTCCAAATCATGAGTAGGATAATTCCTCTCATAAGTCTTAAGTTTCCTTGAAACATATGCTACTACTCTCCCTTCCTGCATCAACACACAACCCAACCCCTGGTGAGAAACATCATAGAACACAACAAAATACTCACCAGTGTCAGGTAACACCAAAATTGGAAAAGTAGTCAATCACCTCTTCAATTCTTGAAAACTCTGTTCACAAGCGTCCATCCAAACAAAAAGCTGATCCTTCCGAGTCAGTTAAGTCAAAGGTTTTACTATTCGAGAGAAACTCTCTATGAATCTCTGATAGTAACCCGTTAACCCAACAAAACTCCTAATCTCCGTAACAGTCCTCGGACGCTCCTACTGAATCACAGCCTCCACCTTGGCTGGATCCACTGTAATCCCATCTACCAATATCACATACCCCAAAAACCTCACCTCAGACAACCCGAAACTCACACTTGGACGGCTTAGCATACAACTACATCTCCCTTAGCACCTCTGAACCAACCTCAGATGCTCACGGTGATCCTCCAAAGATCTAGAATACACCAATATATCATAAATGAAGACCACCACAAACTTGTCCAAGAATCACCTGAAAATCATGTTCATGTAATCCATGAACACTTTTGGAGCATTAGTGACACCGAAACGCATCACTACGTACTCAAAGTGACCATACCTAGTCCTGAAAATAGTCTTCGGTATGTCACTCTCCTTTACCCTAATCTGATGGTATCCAGATCTCAAATCAATCATCAAAACACCGAAACTCCCCTCAGCTGATCCATCAAATCATCAATCCTTGAAAGTGGATACTTATTCCTTATCGTCAACTCATTCAGTTGCCAATAATCAACACACAAACATCCCCACCATCCTTCTTCTTCACTAACAATATCGGGGCACCCCAAGGAGAAACACAGGACCTCACCATCTGTTTCTCCAACAAATCCTCAATCTATTTCTTCAGCTCTACTAACTCAGCTTGAACCATCCTATAAGAAGCCATTAATATTGGTCTTGCACCCAGTACCAGGTCAATGCTAAAGACAACATCACGCATAAGTGGCAATCCCGACACATCATCTGGGAACACCTCAGAAAACTCATTGACAACCCAATCCCAGTGATGGATCTCTTCGCCTCAACACTCAATAACGACAAACAACAATGAAGCACTCAACTCCATCTCTCATCAACTACTCAGCCTAACCCGCTGACAACAACACCTCATCCTCTAACTGAGGAAATGCCAACTCTCTTCGAGCACAATCTATAAGGATGTGATGGGCAGATAACCAATCCATCCCTAAGATTATGTCAATATCTACCATGAGCAACACAATCAGGTTCACTCAGAACCTCCTATCAAACACCTCTATCGGGCATCTCACATACATCTCCGATGTCACCAAAGAAATTGAAGCCATAGTAGAT